TTGTAGCACGATTGTCTTCTCCATTTCCCCCATTGGCACTCACTAATCACTCGAAATTTTAAAAATCGCGCACTACTAAATGTCTATTAGCACTCAAAAAAAAACACAACACGCACGCACTGTATGTACAGCCCCCTTTTCAACACGATTTCGCACTCAAACACCGAATAATAACTAATAATTTATGCGGACAAGTGATTCGTACGGGAGCTTGGTTAAAACTGACTTGTTATTGTAATAATTTTTTCAAAAACAGCACAAAAACTATTTCGTAACAGTTCCGGTGCAAAAGGCCTTTGTTTGAATATTATTAGGGCGCAAAAAATGGTGACGTAGAATTCTACGTCATAGTCTAAGAAGCCCGCGGTCGCCAGACCTTCGTCATTTTATAAAATTTGACAATTTGTCAGCGCATACTTCCAACACAGGTAGGAACGATGGGCAAGTATGAAGTTTGGGTCCTCGTGGCTTTGGGAGATAACAGGTAGCAAAGAAGTAAAAAATATCAAGTTAAATTTATCAACTAAAAAAACGTAATTTTTTCATATTTTCTTCGTTCAACTTTTATAAAATGACGAAGGTCTGGCAACCGCGGGCTTTTGCTATATCACTTTTTACACAACTACGGGATGTATACACTATGTTCCACTTTTATTGTTACAAATTTAACCAGGTGATAGAATATTCAATTTTAAGATAAAAGTTTCCTATAAACATATATCGAAAAATTTTATATAAGGGAGTCACATCCCCTGAAAGAGGTGCATCTTTTAATAGATTTTTTCCAATATTTCAGAAACCATCGTGGATAAAATTACAAAATTTCGTACAACTGATAACATTTATACACCCAAATGAATTCAAAGATAAAATGTCGAAATTTTTACTCAGGGGCGTCTTAAACTGAGGGGTTTAAGGTAAGAAGTATCCTCACTATTTTGGCGGTTGGTTTTTGCCACTTTCAGCCACGAAATTTTAAATTTCATAGTTTTTCACGAAAAAGAGGTCTCTTCCGTTTTTTCGATAAAACTTACCGTTTTTGAGCAAAATCAATTTATAATTTGTCTTACAGACCATAAAGAGGATAAAAATTAAAAATTAAATTTGTATCACCGTTTAAGAAACCCGTGATTAAAAATTTCGACAACTGATCTCTAAATTCGTTCAGGTGTTTAAAAGTAATGAGCTGTAATTTTATTTTGATACATGTTCATAGGAAACTTTTGTCTTAAAACTGAATATGCTATCACCTGTTTAAGTTTGTAACAATACAAACAAAACACCCTGTATAGCGTCTTGATTTTTCGTTCAAACACGAACTTTTAAGGACTTTGTTTCTCACAAAATTTAATTTAATCCCTTGTTGACGTTTTAAATTTAACAAACATGCATGATCAAGACCTTCAATAGCAGAAATTGATTACCAATCCCAGATGTTAAGTTAAATTCAAATTTCGCGGGCAAGTCGTAATAATGTATAAATTTGGTGGATTTAACTTTAAAGGTTGGTGACACTGAACTGTCAATTATCAAGTCAGCTGCGATTATTATTATTTCGAGCAATGTTTTTATCATGACGATTTTTCAGGTTTTTATCAATTAAAATAAGTGTAAACAAGAATAATGTTAGTGCACATTGTTACAATTTTATTATTTTGCGTGAATTTGCTGAATTCTGGCCATGCTGGTGTGATGCACAGTCACTCAAACGATGTGACTAAAGAACGAGAATCAGACGGGGCCTACAGCCCCAGGGACCATTCCCACTTTACAGAAAGTGGTGAACACCACAACGAATTCGACCATGAGGCAATTTTAGGAAGCCACAAAGAAGCCGAAGAGTACGATCACTTGCCCCCAGACGAGGCGAAAAGACGTCTGAGGATTTTACTGAAAAAGATGGACTTGAATGGGGACGAAAAGATTGACAAAAAGGAACTTAAAGCCTGGATTTTGCGCTCATTCAAGTATTTTTCGCACAAACTTAGTCCAAATATTGGAAATTTGATTTTAGGATGTTGTCAGAAGAGGAGGCAAATGAACGTTTGGAGGACGCTGACGAGGATAACAATGGGGTTGTGACGTGGCAAGAGTACTTATCGGACGCTTACGGCGTCGATAAGGAAGATAACCTTTCTGTAGGGGACGAAAATGAACAAGTGAGTGAAAAATGTAAATATGTTTAAAATCTGATCCATTTTACAGTTGATCAAAGATGATAAAGAAATGTGGGCGGCTGCTGATACTAACAACGACGGGGTATTGGATGCGCAAGAATGGACTGCGTTTTCTCACCCTGAGGAACACCCAACAATGCTCCCCCTTATCCTGGAACAAACCCTCAGAGACAAGGACAAAGACGGGGACAAGTCCATCAGTTTTCAGGAATTCGTAGGCGAAAGAGCACACGAACACGACAAAGAGTGGCTCCAAGTTGAGAAAGACAAGTTTGACCATGATTTGGACAAGGATGGGGACGGGAAACTCACCAGTAACGAAATTTTATCCTGGATTGTGCCCAGCAATGAGTAAATTAATTGCACGTCTCAATCTCACCTAAAGTTAATTTTTAGAGAAATTGCTGAAGAAGAAGTTGATCATTTATTTGCCTCCAGTGATGATGACCATGACGATGTACTCACTTTTGATGAAGTTGTTGAACATCATGAAACTTTCGTGGGGAGCGAGGCCACGGATTATGGTGACCATTTGCACAACATTCACCATTTTGAGGACGAATTGTGATACTTTATCAAATTTATGGTAATGTGTGTGAAAGTAGCTTTAGAGTGTATTTGTTTCGGAATCTCCTCGGTTTTTATAGTAAATTTTATTTATTTGTGAAGTTTTATAAAATATTTATTGTACGTGCCATAAACCCAAATAAAACAACTTAAACTTTTATTTTGGCAATCTTGGTAGAAAAGTATTGAACTATGAGTTATTTTAAGGATGAGGAGTCTTCCTTATGTAATTTTTCCCCGATGGTAGCGCCACAATTGTCAAAAGTGGGAAGAGAGTTTTGACTTCTTCATCAGAAACTGTTGGTTGTACCATAACGTGTTCTTGGGGCTTTAATTACACAAAAATGAACATTGAATCGCTTCAGTTTACCACAAACTCACCTTCCAATCGACCGGAGTCGCCACTTTGTGTTTATCACACAGTTGAAGTGAATCAATAACTCGTAAAATTTCACTGAAACAAAACTCGGTCAATTTTTCGATTTTCCTCCGAATTAAACCCACTCGAAGTTTCTCCCCGTAGTAGCAGGGTACAAGATCGACAGTCTCATCTTTTTCTTGGGATCAATTACAAAAACTGCTCTTGCTGTTAAAGGAATCCCATCGGAGTCCCTCTCATCAGGATCGATCATTTGTAGAGTTGTCGCCAATTTGCGGTCTTCGTCGGCTATAAGGGGGTACGGGAACCCCTCTGAGGCACACCCGGCGTACACTTGAATGTCATTTAGCCATTTTTTGTGCGTTTCAACCGAATCGCATGAGAGGGCGATCACTTTAACCCCGCGTTTTGTGAACTCGGGGTGTAATTGCACGACTCGAGCCAATTCGGTGGTACAGACTGGGGTAAAGTCCGCGGGGTGCGAAAATAAGACACCCCATCTGGAAATAATCGTGATTTTTGGCGTAAACAGGGGGGCACTTACGAGTCGCCAAGCCAGTCGTGGAATTTGATAGGACCGATGGTTGTCTCGGCGTCAAAGTTGGGGAAAACGTCGCCCAAATTCACCATTTTGAGCTAAAACAGTCTTGGTTTTAATAAACTGTGATGTTTAATTATTTTAATTCGAAAAATTTTAGGTTATGTTAAAACACCGCTCGCAGTGCAGCCAACCGACCCACACTTGAGGAGCAAAATTTAATTCTTTGCTCGTTTTCTCTCGCATTAAAATATTGAATTAGCTTGGTACACGTTATTGACTACTATGGTGCCAAATTCCAACAATTTCGTAGCTAAAAATTAATTATTACTAAATGTTGAATTGGTTGTAATTATCCCATGAAATACCAAGGTTGGTAGCTCTGCAACCTGTTGCATTTTCAACAAAAAACTTTTTCGAATACTTATTTTCAATAAATTCACATACAAAGAAATTTTTTGTATTGATTTGTAACAGAAATTAATTGATTTTAACTTTTTTAAAGCTTTCATACGCTAATGGACAACCAATATTAACTTAATGGGTGTTGTCACCTGTCACATTTGTATTGTTTATTTATAAAAAATGTGTTATTTACTTCGTCTTTACTTCCAATTGCATCGTAATTAACATTGTTAATTATTCCGCCATTTTACTGCAGTGCCCCCAGGTAATTACTTTCACTTTTAGTTGTTTTTTGTTCAATTAACCTCAACATGTTGACAAATGCAAGGTATTTGACGTTATTTTCGTTATCTTTCACTTTATTGAATAATTACTATCGTTTCTAGAGCCCAATTATCAACCGATAAGATGCTTTTATCACGGACTAGACTTGTAAGTGTAAAAAACCCAAATTCTTGTCCATTCCAAAGCCCATATGTTGCAGTTAACATCTCAAAGAACGCTCAAGGGGCTGTACAATCACTTCACACCGACTCTCACCATGTCTCACGTCGCAGCCCCCCAACAGACTCAAACACTGCCCCACTTACCGGTCCCCAAGTTGAGCCAAACTCTGGAAAAGTATCTAAAATCAGTTGAGCCATTCTTGAACGAGTCTGAATTAAACAATACGAGGAAAGTGGTCTCTCAGTTTGAAAGTGGTCTTGGGCCTAAATTACAAAAATTATTAGTGGAAAAAGCGCAAGAAACGGATAATTGGTTGGCGGATTGGTGGCTCACGACGGCTTATTTGGGGTACAGAGACCCTGTGGTGGTTTACTCAAGCCCAGGACTGGTTTTCCCCTTTCAAAAATTCAATTGCGAGGAGCAGAGACTCGAGTATGCAGCTAAGTTGATTGCGGGGGCCCTCAGCTACAAGGAATTGATCGATAGGTGCGTGTCTCTTTCTCAAAACCATCAATTATTAACTGGTTTTAGTGGGAAAATGCCGGTTGAGAAAATGGGAAAGGACCCACTTGATATGAATCAGTATAAGAAAATTTTTGGGACTTGCAGGATTCCGGGTGTTAAACTTGACCATTTGGAATACAACCCACAATCAAGACATGTAGTCATTGTCAGAAATAATAACGTAAGTTTTGGGTTTAAGAAAACAAAAATTGGTCACGTAATTTACAGTTTTTTAAACTCCAAGTTATCAATGAATGTGGGAAAATGCTCAATACTGGTGAAATAATCAGTTGTTTGAGCGATATTGTCAAAGAGTCAGAGCAAGTGGGCCCCCCTGTTGGCATCCTGACGACTGAAAATCGAAACAATTGGGGGAGAGCCTATCAAAACCTCACCCTAGGTCCCCCTCTCTCTCTCAATTTTTTTTTCATGTCTAAAAACTCGTTTTTTAGATGTGACAAGTTTAAAATCAGTTCGAGAAATTCAAACTTCGCTCTTTTTGGTTTGTTTGGATAAAGCATTACCGAATTGTGGGGAAAATGAAAGAATTACAGCAAGTAAACAATTTATACATGGGGGAGGCTCTAACGCGAATTCCGCCAACAGGTGGTTTGATAAAACTGTTCAAGTGAGAAACAATTTTTTTGCAATTTCTTTCCTCACTCAAAATTTCAGTTTATCGTGAGTGAAGATGGTTGTGTGGGGTTAACATACGAGCACTCGCCAAGTGAAGGACAACCAATTGCAGTCATGACTGATTACATTGTTGACTACATGTAATTAACACTTTTGTATTTTTTTTTCATCCAAATCAAATTTTTGCAGTAAAAATGATACGTCAATCCACCATCCCGATGTGAGGTTTAATGGTGATCCAGAAAAGTTGACTTTTAATATCGATGACAACGTCCAAAAGGCTATAAACTGTGCAAATGCGAATCTTGACAAGTACTGAAAACTGAAATTTGATATGTGAAAAAAATTCATGAGTTTTGCTTCAGACTTGCGGCCAATTTGGATTTGGATTCATTCCAGTTTAAATGTTATGGAAAAGAGTTCGTCAAGTCACAGAAAATGAGCCCCGATAGTTTTATCCAAATTGCGATTCAGTACGCCTTTTTCAGGTATTTTCATTTAAAAATTTGTAATGACCCCTAATGAACCAATAGTATAGGCAATCAAACATACACCGTATCCATGGTAACCATAAACGAATTAGACAACCAACAACACATTTGTCCATTTAATTCGCTTTAATTGACACATTTTTTTAAATAAATTAATGATTTTAGGATTCACCGAGTCCCGGGGGCTCACTACGAGTCCGCAGCCACCCGGAAATACATCCACGGTCGCACAGAAACCATTCGTTCGTGTTCGAACGAATCGGTCGCGTTTGCAAAAGTCATGTTGAATGAATGTAAATCCGATAATGAAAAAGTAGCAGCATTGAAAGAGGCCGTCAATGCGCACAAAAAATACTCAATTGAGGCTGTGAACGGTTTTGGGGTGGACAGACACCTCCTCGGTTTGAAACTCACAGCGATTGAGAATAATTTGCCGATTCCGGATTTGTTTAGTGACCCTTCGTACACGCGAAGCACTCATATGAGGCTGTCAACGAGTCAAGTGGCCACAAAATGTGATGGTTTCATGTGTTATGCACCACTCGTGCCTGATGGTTATGGTTGTTGTTACAATCCGAGAGCGAATGATATGAATTTCGGTGTTTCGGCATTTGTGGAGCATCCAGATACCACAGCGACACGGTTTCGTGAAGCACTGGAAATGAGTTTGCAAGATATGCATGACGTATTGGCTAAAACGCAAAAATCGAAATTGTGATCTAATAAATTTGTATTTGTTTTTTTATTAAGATAAAAATTACTATGTATAAAACAAAGGTTACACTTATTAAGTCTACTTGAATGAAAGATACTGAGTTTTAGGCTCGTCTTGTGTCAGAGAGCACCCTCACAATACATCCCACTCCCCCAACATTGAACACTTTTTCATGCCATACCAATAAGTGGCCACTGCTCCCCTCCGAAGGATACTCAAAACCTCGATAAATGTATTTCATCAACACGTCGATTAAGTCAGGGTTTAAGGAATTTACGGCTTCTTCAATCTGGGAAGGTTTAATAGCCAACAACACCCGTAGTGTCAAGTTAACGGCGTTTTCCTTAAATAAACTAGTTGAAAAACACATTAAGGGTCACTAGAATATTACTTTAATTTGCTGATTTTTACTTCCAAGTGGGGCATTCACCAACACGGCTTTTAAGGCCTCTACATGTTTACCTGTATTTCTAATTAAGGAAATTTGCAAAACTTGGGAAATGAAGATAATTCAAGAAAAGGATATTTTTGTAGTAAACTGTTGACTTCTGTCTCGTCCGGTCCAGTCGGACCCCCCTGATCACCATCATCTTCTTTGAAATTGTCTTCACAGTACTGATCGACATCAATTTTTCTGAAAGCGGAACTGAATGTGTTCTTAGCCATGGTTTGTCACAACTATTACTTAAATTACTACTGTAAACACACTATTAATTCAATTTTTGGTAAATTTTATTTGTATAAAACACCACCCAATTCGGGAAACGAAAAGTGACACATTTGACATAATTTTGACAAATTTGACATGAGCACCAACACACAAAAATGAAAACCTAAATCTTAAAAAATATCTTAATCACTTATTATAAAACACTACAGCAAAACAATTTATTTTTTATTAAACTGTTATTATAGAAGAATAAACCCTCATACTTGCGTTATTTATAATTTAAAGAATTTTGAATTTAGGTTGAAGTAGTGCCAACTTCACGGAGGTAAATTCTTTCAGTTTGTTGTTGCGCACCACGAAATGGTAAGTTTGATAAATCTCCGTTTATTTCATATTTCACGAATCATCTGCTAATTAAATGATCAAATTTCGCTTCTGTGAACGTTTCGTTGTCCCCCTATTGATAAATTTCCTTATTTGACTTTAAATTCGTCTTTGCGACTTTTATAGGTTAGGTAACCTCTTTTTTCAGGGTAAAGTAAAGTGCTCGGATTTGCGGCTTCGCGACAAGAAGGAGCTCACAAAGCAGCTCGATGAGCTCAAAACCGAGCTTACAAGTCTCAGGGTGGCCAAAGTGACCGGCGGTGCCCCCTCAAAACTGTCCAAAATGTGAGTAAAACTCTGGTTCCTTTCTAAAATAATTCATTGATTTCAGTCGCGTTGTGCGTAAAGCCATTGCTCGGGTGTACATTGTTATGCACCAGAAGCAGAAAGAGAATTTGAGGAAGTTGTACAAAAATAAGAAATACAAGCCCCTTGATTTGAGACCGAAAAAGACAAGGGCTCTACGTCGTGCTCTCACGAAACATGAGCAACGGATTAAGACACCCAAGGAGCTTCACAAGATGTCCATCTACCCCCAAAGGAAGTTTGCTTTGAAGGCTTAATTTGTGTAATTTAATAAAAGGTTTCATAAATTAACTTGTTTTAATTTATTCAGGTACAAGTTTCTGGGGCCTTAATATAAACATGTAAACGGTGTATAAACCTTTCGGGAAGTTTCTTTGCTTCACTTGTCGGTAACAATCTAGCCCCGCTTTTGTAAAAATCTCACGGTACAAAGACAGAGGACGCGTTACTGAAGAGTCTCTCTCATCTTTGTCGATTTCGTCACTTGAAGAGATGTTTTCTTTGATTATTATAACTCCATTAAGTTTAAGTCCACTTCTGAAACAATAATTTCACACAACAAATAAATTAGTGAAAAACTCACTGGCATGATTCTAAAAACGTGACTAAATCCAAATCGGTCAAATGCCCCAAAACCCACTGACACCAAATCACGTCGTATTTCCCCGTCTCAGGTTTGAAGCTTTGCAGCCCCACAGAATAATAATTCCTAATCTTTTCTTGCAACTTCACCCCTAAATACTGTTCGGCTTGACTTAGAAACTTCGGGTTTTGCTCGACTAAATCAACATTGTCGAAAAAATCACAAAGGAGATGTTTCGTTATCCTCCCAATACCCGCGCCACAGTCAAGTGCATACTCCCTTCCAGGGGGCTCCTTCGAGTTGAATAATTGCTTGAGTAACAACTTTGAGTCTCTAATATCGGTTTGAGATATGTGTCCGAAACCCCCGAGCATACCGTCGATGGTTGGAGGAATTTCGGACCAATACTGGACGGCGTTTGAGTAAAACGTCTCATCATCCACAGAGGCACCACTAACATCCATTTTTTCCTCATAAATAAATTAGAGAAAAACAAAAAGGCGGGCAGGGCACACTTGTGACATAACCTAGCATTTTTTTTTGATTTTTGACAATGTGACAGTTGACACAAGTGGCCACGTTCCGCAATTTGCAAAAAAACAAATTTAATTAAATAATTATGCCAATAAATTGTTTAAAATAAAAACCAGTCGTGATTATAAAACACTGGTTTTAAGTAAATAATCAATGAATTTGTTCAAGTTTCAAGAGTTTTGGTATGGGTGACGTTATGGAACGCACTCTGAATGAAAATAGCCACACCAGTGTTTGACATGTTTTGTGACATTCATAACAATAATAACAACCATTTCAATGGCTTTTCTTCATTAAAATTGTAAACTGATACTTTTCTTATCATGATTATTGAGATAAGAGTCCCGAAATGAAGTTGTTTAAGGGGTGGTGGTAGTGAACGGTTTCAATTACAAAATGCGCGTTATTAGAACAATGCAGGTCAGAAAAGTGTTTCTCCTGGCCATATCTTCAATATTTGGTATTGTGATGTTACTTATAATAACCCACGACTCTCCGATTAACGACATTGATCGAAAATTCCGACTGTGAGTATCAATAACGAATTTGAACAAATTTCGAATTGTCGGGCTTTTAGGGAGAAGATCGACGAACTGATTCACTCCCAGGCCAGCTCCCTCGCTTGCAAACAGCCCAATTTGCCGGTATTTTCCCCCGAAATGATGAAATTCGTCCATGAAGAGTCCCCAATTGACTGCTCATCAGCAGGGACGGATTGGGTGAAATGCGAAGGTAGCGAGTGTCGAATCCAAGACGAAATCAAGGCGAAATACGGCCGAGTCACGTGCTCCTTCACTGATATAATCCGAATCAACGATTTTGAATTAACAAATGGGGAAACGACCCACTCAGATTCGTACTACAAACTCGAGAAAAGCGATGTTGTTAAAGTCTCATGTCGCTCGCAAACCGCCCAATGGTCGGCAACCCTCACCGGGATTCGTCTGGATAAAACCATCTGGGAGAGGGCGAGTTGGAGTAAATTGCCCCCAGACGCTGTAAAATACAACGTTTTGATGTTCGGTTTTGACTCAATTTCGCGCAACTCTTTCGTGAGAAAACTACCAAAAAGTTACAAGTTTTTGACTGAAATCTTGCACGGAGATGTTTTGCAAGGGTACAACATCATCGGTGATGGGACCCCACAAGCGCTAATCCCGATTTTGACCGGGAAAACCGAACTGGAACTCCCTGATACCCGAAAACGTTTCACGAACACGAAATTCGTGAACTCGTACCCTTTTATTTGGAACGAGTATAGGAATGCAGGGTACGTGACTGGATTTTATGAGGATGTTCCCGAATTGGGGACTTTTACATATCGCCTGAACGGTTTCAATGTTTGTTTTTGTCTTGTTGGTAGCCGTGGATTGTAAATTGGTTTCAGGAGACGCCAACTGACCACTACATGCGGCCATATTACCTTGCGTCATTGGGGGAAAGACGCAAATGGCCCAAACTTTGCACCGGGGAAATACCCAGACATCAAGTCATGTTCAATCAAATAAAAAATGTAATAACACGACTTTTGAAATTGAAAAATAGTTAATTGTGTTTCAGTTTTTCACAGTTTATAAACCGAAACCTAAATTTTTGTTTGGGTTTCACGGCGAGTTGTCACATGATGATTACAATTTGGTGGGGGTTGCTGATGATGATTTCTTCGAGTTTTTACATTTTTTGAAGGATTCGGGGGTTTTGGATGACACGATTTTGATTGTTATGGCAGATCATGGTCATAGGTGATTCCCCCATGGTTGTTGTATTGTTTTATTGGTTGTTTTAGATTTGCAGAAATCAGGAATACGATTCAAGGGAAACAAGAGGAACGTTTACCGTTTTTCTCATTCACTTTTCCCGAAAGTTTCAAGAAACATTTTAAACAAGCTTACGAAAACTTTCAACACAATATTGATAAGTTATCAACGCCGTTTGATGTCCATTTTACGTTAAAAAGTTTGCTGGAATTGAATGACATTGGGGAGGCGAATATTAATTACCGAGCAGTTTCGCTTTTCACAAAAATTCCGGGTGAGCGGAGCTGCTCTCATGCATACATTGAGCCCCACTGGTGTGCGTGTCTAGACTGGGAGAAAATCCCCCTTTCTGACCCCATAGTGAACCGCATATCAAATCTATTAATTGCCACTTTAAACGACTACACGAAACCCCACCGCCACATGTGTCAAGAATTATCAGTGGCTGATATCGAATGGGTGATGAGAATGACGCCCAATGAAAATCTCTTAAAGTACAATAAAAACGCCGATTTGGATGGGTTTGTTGCCGATTTGTCGGCAAAAATCAAAATCAAAACAAATTTGTATCAAATCAAAGTGGTTGTGACACCTGGAAATTCCGTTTTTGAAGCCAGTGTGACGTATTTCATTGATGAGGACAAGTTGAATGTCAAAATGAGTGATATAAGTCGAGTCAACATGTATGGGAAACAAGCGCGATGTGTGGAAGATAATCTACCAGACTTGAGAAAGTATTGTTATTGTAAAGATTAGTTTTGTGGAAGAAAAACTCGCTGAATGATCAAAAACCTTAAAATATGTGATGTAGGCAGCACAAACAAATTGTTTTAATTTATTTAAGTTCCGCAACTATATTTTGTATTTGTTTCACATGTGGAAATTACATGATTTGTTTCTGTTTTTTACCATCAGTTTTTTTTGTAACCTGTAAGTGAAATCAGGCAATAAGAATGAAAAAACGGTTTTACGCTTTTAAATTTTTCGCCATGTTGGCAATTTCAAAGTTACCCACGAGAGGGTGCAACAGTCGCACAATTCAAATTCAAAATTTGAAACGCAAATGTATTTTGGTGGGATGGAAAAAGCCGCACATACGTGTGCTAAGCAAAGGTTTACTTTACAAACAATAATGTTTTTATAAAAAA